CCCTGGCGGGGGCCGCCATGCGGGACGTGCGGCGGCGGCTGCCCCGAGGCATAATGGCGGCGACGCGGCTGCAGCAGCGAGCAGAGGAGGACACCTCCTTCCCTCACTAGGCCCGGCGCGAGACTGCCGCTTCCGTTTCCGCTTCCGTCCTCTTGAAGGTCACCCGAAGCCCGGCGGCGCGTGGTGACGTTACCGTCGCTCGCTAATGACGTGAGCCGAGGAGAGGCGGGGTTAGGGTTCCAAGCTGCGGTTGCGCGCGCCGCTCTGTGCAGCGCTGTGTTACCTGGGGGGGGTTGGCCACAGCTACACGTGTGCTAAACTCCCCGTACAAAGGCCGGGGTGCGGGAGCCTTGCCCTCGTCCCCAGCCCTGAGGAGGGTTGCCTCTGAACCCCCTCCAGCTGGTGTATGCTGTGCTCTTTTTAATATTGCCTGATTGGAAACATCCCAGTAAACAGCTACCTTTATTTCATGTCATTGCATTGATTGAAAGATGTCTCTGTGGCAGTACGCGTCATTGCAGAGGGATCCCAGAGAGCATATGTGCGTGTCTTCTGTATCACAGGAAAGACCTCCCTTCAGCTTAGGGAGAAAACTAGAAATACTGCACTACTGAGCAGTAAAACCATGATTAACCTGGTAGCCAAAGTGCTGCTAAAGAGAAAAGCCACTCAGTTTGTAAAGGAAGACAAAGTTTTATTTTCATAGCTTCATGGATCTAGCAAATATCAAAGCTGTGCTACGTACAGTTCACCAGTATACACAAATGGTCATTTATAAACTTCCCAATGCCAATATCCATCATATCCAGGATGACACCACTTAACAAGACTTTAAAAAGTGTGCAGTCAACTAACAAGAGATGCATCTTGCTGTCATTACATTTAAGATCACAAAGAACTAAAAGAACGTAATAACTTGAAAATGCTGGAAATCTTCAAGAGGAGACTGGACGGTCACCTTGCTGGTGCCACCTGACCCCACCCGTCTTTCCTGCTTGGTGCAGGGGGCTGGACCCGGTGATCTTCTGCGGTCCCTTCCAGCCTCGCAATCTATGAAAGTATATTCATTCCATTTATTTTGTGCATTTGTTCGCTCTTTTGCAGTTTCCCTTGTGTCCAAAATCTTTGTCCTCCAAACCCTCACGCGCATAACTTTAGGTTTATGAGCAGTTCTACCAAGTGACTAAACATGTGCATAATGTTAATCACATGTTTGTTACACCCATAAAGTAAAACAGGCCCCCTGGGTGCTAATGCAATTTAAAATAAATTAGGTCCCAGTCATACAAGAAACTTAGGCAAGTAGTTAGCCTTGAGCATTCAGTGGGACTTTTCACTTTAGTAAATGAAGCAGGACTGGCATTTTTGTTTCATGTTTGCAAGAGTCTTTCATACGGCATGAAGAGGACAGAGATACTGAACAAGAAAGCAACATGCACAACTGTAAGACATCCCTCCTTTTTTAAGAAAATAGCTTTATTGCAGGCTTACAGTACATCTTGTAAGCACCCTGGCTGAGATCTTCAGCGGGGCCTATGACCTAAATGTGAACCCTTTAGAAAAATCCCAGCTGTCCTTTAAACCCTGAACTTGCTGCTCACATCTAGAGGTGGAGCCCAGACTCATTTACTGTCTTCAGTGGGAATCTGCAGGATGGCAGGGACCTGAGGGAGGTTGTAAAACCAAGCTCATAACAGCCATAGCTGAGATTTGAGGTCCCCAGCAAATCTGAGAAGTGTTAGTATTGCCCACAGGGGGAGGAGGGCCAGGACTGGGTGCCCTAAGCGCGGCTGTGGGCACCGGACATAAACAGATCATGATTTGCAGGAGAGGCTTGAAATGTGCAAAGTCTTCCAGATGAAGCCCCAGGCGTTGGACCTGCGCAGGAGGCGCTGCTCACTCCCTGAGTGGACTGAGTGCAGGCTCCAACAGACGCCCCCCAGGCCCTGGTCTTGCTGACAAGCATCACTTGCTGGTCTTACAGGACTGAGTGCTGGAGCAGCACAAAGGGCGGCCCTGCCAGACCCCCCTTGCACCGCCGAGCCCAAGAGGGTGTTCCTTGTGTGGGCACTGACACCCTGCGGCAGCTGTGGCCCCTTCACTGAGCCTGCAAGAGCAGGACACAGAACCTCCACTCCCAGCACCACAACAGGCGAGGGCTCGCTGCCACCCCTGCAGGAGGCAAGAGACCCCCCCCCGGCTCCATCAGACTCCTGGTGAAGGTCAGAGGGGACCTGGTGAGTCCTCAGGGTCAAGTGAAAGGCAACTCGTGTCAATTTTTCCAACTATTTTAGGTGGTCTAATAAAAGATTTACCCCCCAAAACCTTGTGTATGTGTATCTGTGATACATTAGTTTCTTCCACAAAGTGCAAATCGCTCTGGAAACCTGAAGGGAGATACCAGGCTCAGCAGGATTTTAGAAAAGGGGTCTGTTATTTATACGGAGCCACGGTTACATTACGTACTGCCCGTGGAAAGAGCAACAAAGGCACTACAGCCTAAGTACAATTACACTGGGGATAATTTGATCCCACTGAAACCCAAATCCCTGCTTTATTCAATCAAAGTAGCAAGGGCTGGTTGTTCTGCTGAGCCTGATCTAACCTCTTTGTAAATCGGGGGAAGGGGGCTTATGGGCTAGTGGATGTTCAGTTGGGCCTGGTGTATGAATTTCTTTTTAAGTTGGTGCAGAGATTCAGCCACAAGGAAAATCTCATACTGCTCAATTTGTCAGTGCGGGCAGGTATACCTCCTATTATTTGTGTTGTACGCAGGTGTACACAAGCTTTGCATTATTACATATTGCTACCATGTGAAATTCAAGCCTCTATGAGCAGGTGTAATACAGGTGTTATTTTCAAGAGAGAAAATGCAGCATTCCTTTTTCTTCAGGTTTTTGCTATTGTGGAAGAATAAAATCCCATGCTTTTAGGAAACAGCTTCAACAGGGGTGATTGGTGCCTCCTGAGTCTGGAGGGAGCACAATTTGTGGGCAGGCTTGGGGGTGGGCCAAAAACCCCATATCCACTCCATCAGCTACCCAGGTTGTAGCCATATTGGTCTAGAGGGAAAGGCAATCAGGACTCCATATATCTACTCCTATACTTCCGTGCTGTGGCTTAGTGTCCCCACCCCAACACGCTGCTGACTCGCACGACAAAACAACTGCCCATCCTGAGCGGTGTCAAATCGGGGCGAATCTCGGGGGGGCAAGTTCCCCCCCTACCAGTCACCTGTGAGCTTCAGCAATCTGTTATGTATTTTTAAGTATTAACTTAGCTGCCCTTCCCAACACAGGCTCAGGATGTAACTGTATGTAGGATGTAACTGTTGTGTGACTGGTGAAATCATCCATATCACATTATAACATGCAAAGCATTAGTAGTCTGAAGCACAGCTTGAATCAGAAAAGTAGTATCTGTTCCTGCCGGGGGTATTAAAGATGAGACACTGCTTACACTGCTACAACAAAGCATGTTTTGAAACCCAGGCAGGTAACCCAGCCATCGAATGTGCTGTACAATACAAATAAACTGCCTCTGCAGACAGATGTGCTGTCTCCCACACCACCAGGAAAGAGCCTAGACAGCAACGGCCTTTTGAACATGAACCCTGGCTAGAGATCAAAGGCACTCTTATTTTCTCTTCCATCTCCACAAAGCACCTCGCCTACCTCTCGTCCTTCCTCTCATAGACCCAGAGGAACACACTTCCACCTTCCGCTTCGTCTGTGCCAAAACAAAGTTTATTGACTTTTAGGACTTTTAACCATCTTGAACTGAGCCTGCGGAAGGGCACGTGAGCCTGAAACCTGGCAGACAAATCTTTTTTTGTTGTTGTTGCAATTTCTCGGTCTAATAAAAGGTATCCTCTCCGAACCAAGAGTTTTGCATTCCTTATCCTGAACGCGTTTCATTTCAATGAAGGGAGCTTGTGCCTGAAATCTCGCTAGAAAGAATTTTTCCAATGAGATCGGATTCACCCAAAGACCCTGCCCCCTGCCACACCTCCTCCAGCTCTTCCCTTGGCTGCAGCCAGAGCGGAGAAGGCGCTCAGGGGCACCTGTCCCAGGCCAGCTTGGAGGGGTGCGGGAGTTGCACTCGGGATAAGAAACGCATTTGGGATAAGAAATGCAAAACTCTTGGTTCGGAGAGGATCCCTTTTATTAGACCGAGAAATTGCAACAACAACAAAAAATGATCTTTTTCTGCCGGGTTTCAGGCTTGCGCGCCCTTCCGCAGGCTCCGGGCACCTGTCCCAGGCCAGCTTACAGGGGTGCAGGAGTTGCACTCGGGTTAAGAAACGCATTCGGGATAAGAAATGCAAAACTGTTGGTTTGGAGAGATCCCTTTTATTAGACCGAGAAACTGCAAAAAATAAAAAAAATCTTTTTCTGCCGGGTTTCAGGCTCGCGTGCCCTTCTGCAGGCTCAGGGCACCTGTCCCAGGCCAGCTTGGAGGGGTGCAGGAGTTGCACTGCCCCACAATGCTAGGGGGGGGTGCAAAGAGAAGGAGGAGCTGCTCCACTTGTTTGCCAGGGCACTTGTGGGCTCAGGCACCTGTCCCAGGCAGGCTTGGAGGGGCTGCATTTCCCCGCGATGCTGGGCGGCTGCAAAGGGAGCTGCAGAGGCACCTGCTCCGCTTGTTCTCCCGGTGTCCCCCCAGCCCCTAGGGGGCGCTGCGGCGGAGGCCCCGCCCCCTGGA